ATAATCTGTGACTAATAAGCACTTTGAAGAATACTTACACTTCAAAGAATACTTAGGGATTTTTTTTCACTTCTTTTTTGTTCTGTTTACAACTCTTCAGTTTGGGCATGAATTTAGTTGATAGTTGCTACAGGATTTCTAAAGATAATGAATTGCTGGCTCTTAAAACTTAGACTATTTTCTTAACTACCAGATTAGGTCTCAAAGTGAACCAAAATTCTGGACCTTTTTATTTTTGTTTTGTTTTGTTTATTAATAGAGAATTTTAAAAATGAGATTTTGTAACTTGTAAAATTAAAAATGAAGCCTTCAATCTGTATGGTAAACATGGTGGAATATAATTTGATACTTTTTGTGAAAGAGTAAATAGTGGGAGAACAGTGCTTAACAAAGATGCCAGGTAAAACTAATTTCTATAAAGCCAGAAAATAATTATTCTGTAATGCACTTAGTACCACAGTAAATCAATTCAATAGCCAAAAAAAAAAAAATCCTCTTCCTTTCCTTGGTCAAGGATAATTGGCTTATAGAACACCTAGGCAAACATGTCCATGGGCCCTGGTGGGATGCATCTATGAGTGCTGAGGGAGTTAGCAGACACCACAGATGAGCCACTCATGGACATCTTTGAAAGGTTGTAGCACTCAGAAGAGGTACTTGAGGACTGGAAGACAGCAAACATCACACCAGTGTTCAAGATGAGAAGGCAATCAGGAGTAGCCAGCATGGATTCACCTAAGTAAAATGATGCTTGACCAACCTGATTGCCTTCAACAACAAAACAACTACCTGGACGGATGAGGGGAGAGCAGGAGATGTCGTCTACCTCAACTTCAGCAAGGCCTTTGACACTCTCTCTCACAACATTCTCATAGGCAAACTCAGGAAGTGTGGCCTGGATGAGTGGACAGTGAGGTCGACTGAGAACTGACTGAGCAGCAGATCCCAGAGGGTCATAATCAGTGGCACAGGGTCCAGTTGGAGACTTGTCACTAGTGATGTCCTCCTACTGGACCCAGTATTGTTTAACTTCTCCATCAGTGACTTGGATGAAGGGGCAGATGCCTCCTCAGCAAGTTCACTGATGACACAAAGCTGGGAGGAGTGGCCGATACCCCAGAGGGCTGTGCTGCCCTTCAGAAGGACCTCAACAGGTTGGAGAGATGGGCAGACTGTCTGAATTCTACAAAAGCAAACACATCTGGGATAGAATAACCCCAGGCACCACTACAGGCAAAGTGTTGACCCACTGGGAAGCAGCTCTTCTGAGAAGGACCTCTGGGTCCTGGTGGACAACAAGCTCTCCGTGAGCCAGCCTTTGTGGCCATGAAGGCCAGTGGTATCCTGGGGTGCATTAGGAAAAGGACTGCCTGCAGGCCAAGATGAATGATCCTCCTCCTCTACTCAGCCCTAGTGAGGCCACATCTCTAGTGCTGTGTCCACTTCTGGGCTCCTCATACAAGAGACACGAAGCTCCTGGAGCAGATATAGCAAAGGACCACAGAGATGATTAGGGAACTGGATCATCTCTCTTATGAGGAAAGGCTGAGAGAGTTATTCAGCCTTGAGAAGAGAGAATTGAGAGAGGACCTCATCAATGTGTAGAAATATCTGAAGAGAGGGTAGGTCAGAAGGGTGCAGCCAGGCTCTTCTCAGTGGTATCGAGCAATAAGAGAAGAGGCAGTAGGAAGAAACCGATGTACAGGAAGTTCCACCTGAATATGAGGAAGAACTTCGTCACTGTGTGGGTGCACTGGAACAGATTGCCCAGAGAAATTGTGGAGTCTCCCTCACTGAGTAATCCAAGTCTGGATGCAATCCTGTGCCTTGTGCTCTAGGATGACCCTGCTTGAGCATGGAGGTTGGGCCAGATGACCCACTGTGGTCCCTTCCAACCTTATCCATTCTGCGATTCATTGATTTCAGGCGGAATACTGGGAAATTCAAGAAAAATATAAGCATAAAACATTGAGCAAACACTGAATAACTCCAGTTTAATGATTATTATATTTTACTAATCTAGTATGGGATTGTAACAATATAGAAATACTTTTTTCTATATAAAAAAATGGCTTAAATTTATACATAATTCATGGAAAGTATGCAGCCCATGACTCTGAATCATATTTCAGTATTAACTGCAAAGCAATACAACATGTACATACTATTCATTACTAATCAAAATGCTAAAAAAAGAAGTAGTAACAATGCCACAAATCTCCGAAAATTAACTCTGATATTAGGCATTCTGAACTTCACAAAAATAGAAAACTTCACATTTTTTTAAAAACAGGTGCTTAAACTTAAATCCCAAAGCCTGTATTTTCTTGTGTGTTAGTATAGATTTGGAAAGATGGATAGTGTTTAATAGCTTACAGGACAGTCATAGCAATCCTTGCCTATGATGCGAAGAAGACTTTATAAAAGAAAAGACCTGACAGAAAGCAGCGGCTGACACAAAGTCTTTCTACCAATTTCAATAGGATTTGGAATTAGGCACCATCAGAACATGTTACTTCCCAAGCAACTTCAGTTTTTCCTGACTTAAAAACAGATTTCATACCTCACAAACTGACTCTTTACAGTGTGCTAATATTGGTAATGATCACTTTGGAGCCTGGGAGCAGCAAAAGAAGTCAGTTTTCCCTGGCTTTACCCTATAATGTATTTACTATCCATCAATTGTCAGATCCATGTATGTGCAGATTAAAGACATTTTACATCATCGCTCTACCCCTCAGAGGGTGGGAGAGAAAATCTTTCTTACAGGTTAAACACATAAACGAACAACAATAAATAATCCTGTTTTCCTAACATTTACTCTTTGGCCTACTCAGAGACGAAAATTACACATTGAAAGTTAAAACTACTTAAACCAAAATGAAATCCCTACACAGACACCCTTCTTTAAGCAATGCTGCATTGGTTTTGGCATATAAGTGTTCTACACCAACTCAAGCTAACAAGCAGTAGGGTCTATCAAATGAAGTGCATCCACAAAAGCTATGGGTTAACATGATTTACTTACACTGCTGATAAAATTATACATATAAGTAATTGGTACAACTCAGTAATCATACCCTTTATCCACAGAGCTCAAAAAAGAATGCATGCAATATAAAGAAGCCCTATCCACAGATCTCAAAAGTACACTAAATTTAGTATTGACTTTCTTAAGAAAATGAACTCAGATCTTGAAACGACGACTGGCTTCAACAAATTAAAGACAGTCATTATTACAGAAAGACAGATGTAAACCCCACAGCAGTTATGTATTCATTTCTTCCTTACTTCAACCAACAATAAGTGAAGTTGCCCATAAGGAATAAAAAGCACCTAAACCCACACAAGAAGTTCACCTTAATGAACACAATGCCATACTGGCTTATTACTAAGTACTGCGCAGTATTTTACGAACCTATTTTGTCTTATAAATTCTGTATTCTGTTTGCTCATGCCACCTCACCACAATCTAGTCAAAGCCACTAATCTGCAATGTACAAGACATAAGGGTGTTCCCCATAAGTGTGAGTGCACAGGAGCTCTAAAAAACCAGTCTAAGTGTACCAACCTTCGGGGTGTGTACAATACATAAGCAATCTCTCTTGCATGGCTTTGCGTGAAAAAGAAGGCTTATGTTATTGCTCCTGAGTCACTACTGCCTGTAATGCTCACATTCTTTAGTGATGGAAGGAGAATTACAACTGCAATTACATGTATGGCAAGAAAGTGTTCTTTCCTATATAAAAATACAAAAAGAAAACCCACAAAATAATTACATGTGATAATTTGTTGCTATAGTTTCAAAGCAGCAAACAAAGACAACAATGAAGCAACAAGAACAGGCAGACAACTGTAACTGACAGATATAAGAATATCCCATGTAACACAGCTACTGGCAATATTGTCTGTAATACATGAAGGCAACTTATGGGCAACACAAGGACTTAGTACAAAACAATTTGCTGCTGTTGAAATTCTGTGATAACAGCCTTCATGGCATTGGCACAAAATTGGTTTACATTGTGACCCATTGGGAAAACACATTTTCTTTAATGCAGAGAAAACCAAAGTCTGAATAAAACTTTCTATGATGTCTTGATTCTTAAATTAAAACAAAAAAATCAACTTGACTTACAGAAAGTGTTAAATAGTAGCAAAGGGCTAATTATACCATACTAACTTCCTTTTGTCTAGTATAAAAGGACATTTTTTTACTTTGCCTGGCTGAGTATAATAGCCTATGAATTATGAGATCAAAGCAGCAAACTGTATGTTTTCTAAAGTAAGAGTTTCCTTCACCAAGTTTTACACTTAACTACAGCTGAAAGAGCCGTGTGAAGGGATCAGCACTAAACCCAAAGGACAGGCTGTGCACAGCAAGAAAGAGAGCAACTCCCTCGTGCTTTTTGCAGGTCACTACCAAGGACCATGTTAGCAGATCCACACCAGACCCTTAACAGGCAGCTCTGCTGCTACCAGTAATTAGCTTGGACAGCTCTGGCTCCAGGAGTAGCAGCAAGGCTACACCATAATGAGCTCAGCTGGGATTAGCAGGACAGGGCAGGGAACCAAGAGAGCTGAGGCATTCTGCATTGCGTATGTATCACAGAGATCAAACAAGGATGGCTGGCTAGGTTATCCCCTCACCACCTCATTCCAAAAATGAAGCACGGCAGTGTGGAAAATACAGGCTAATGAAGAGCGACACCTCCAACAGATGAGAGCCACATTAATTAACACAATCCCTAGATCATGGAATACAGTTTCTGTTAGTGCTAGCAAACTTGTAACTTGTCACTGATTTAAGGGGTAGGGGGAGGGAGTGGGGGAGAAGAAAAAAAAAAAAGAGCTGATGTTTTCCTTTTCTGCTTTTGGTAGAAGACATTTTTTCTTGCAATTTTGCAAGGAATTCCTCCTATATGGTCTGCAAAGTACTATCTTCAGAAAAAACCCCAGTATTTTTCTTAACTTAAACACCTTTTAAGAAGCAAACTCACTTTTCAATCAACAGCTTTTTGTGTTCCCTTTTGAAAAAAGCCAGTTCATTCCACACCATGTCAGGATCCTCTTGACGAAGCTGACAGGAGTCTGCATGCTGGTATCTGCTTTTACTATTTTCAAGTCTGTTTATGAAAAAAACAGCTTGTTTGTTTTCAAATACCTACATGTTTTGCTTTCCGAAAATACAAATTTTCAATTACATCATCTACTGAATCTACATTTTGCATGAAGTATACATTTTATGAGGCACAAAACCTTAACTGTGGTAATACAGAGAAGTCCAATAGCATAGTTTCAGACAGATGTTGTGCTAGTATGACACCATGCGTCTCAACCTACATGTGGCAGAACATTCTATCAACATTACTTAAAACAAAAGTATGAGAAAGCAGAAGTTGAAACCATCACATAATCTCTTGAAAAAAAATGGAGAGCCACCAGCTCCCCTAATGCCCTGGGAAACCAATCTGGAACTTGCACTAATGCCTACTCTAAATCAAAGTACTGTCCTACAGATCAATGGAAGAATAAACTGTCTACGGACAAGATGACGTATAAGGAAAAAGCATATTGAATTTAAAAGCACAGAAAAATAAATTTAAAATATTTAACAGTTTTTCTGTCGTTAAAATATTTTTATGTATTTTAATAATGCAAAAGCTAAAAATTGTATTAAAAATTCTTTGTGAAATCAATTTAAAACTCTCTGCAATCTGAATTCACACTGGGCATAGAATAAAGTCTTAGAGAATGTGATAACCTCCTAAGGACCCCATCATCTTTGCAGTCATGTACATCAGTGCAAGTTTTATGTACACTGACAGGTGGATTAGGTCCCATCAGCTGCCATCTTGATAACAGATACTAATCTAAGACAAATAAGGAGAATAGGGTCCTCCATCACTTATAAAGGATCAGAAGTGCCACATAAGGACCTGATACTGAGTTCTTAATGCACAACTTACATTACAGCAGCACTATATAACAGTCTTATTGCTACAGACTGTTTTTATTTGAGCCTCAGCTACTTTCCTTTGTTTAAGCGTACTAAAAAGGAAAACCAAACCTCTTCTAGTGTGGCTTCATATAATTCTACTATGATGACAACAATTAAAAAACCCTGCTATTTTCCGCTTATCTTAAATATATATGAAGAATCAGATGAATGAAGATTTAACATTACATTTTACCCAATACCTACTTTTCCCAAACACATTCCTGTCATATCACAAGCTAGTTTTATTTATTTTAAACAGAAACAGAAGTCACTTTTGTCTCTCTTTCCTGTTCTTTTTTTTTTCATTTATCTTTTAAAAGCTATCAGAACCAGAACACTCAGTGCTTCACTGTATATCAAGTCTGATTTTACTGTCTTTATCTAGGTTGAATTTTTTTATCTTTTCAGTCTTGGCCTCTCAGTGGACAATGAATGCCTATTAAGCTATAGACAAAGGATTAAATAATTTCATTGAATATAGTAACTATCATCCTGTAGTCACTTCCAGATTGCACTGAATTAAAAACAATGAGCTAGAGGAAAAAAATCATTCATGTTTTTCCTAAATAAGAAGCACCTTTTCATTATAATTTAGACAAATTTATTTGTAATTATGCTTGGATTTTTAAAAAAAATCTTTCTGTGCTATCACGAATGGTGTAGCAGTTTTGTACTTTACCATTATTTTCATCCACACTTTTTTGTCTTTTTAAAAGACAAACTGTTCTTAAGTAAATGCCACAGTATTTCAAAGCAATGCAAATCTACTCATATAGGCCAGAGCATTACTTATATATGAGGGATAGTTTATCAGTAGGACTCTGACCAGCTACCAGTTTTGCAGCATTTTTTCTGACTCTCTTTTTGTTCAGAGAGCATTACAAAGTTTGTGTCAAGATTAGTCAGTATTGTTCTAATTGCAAAAAGAATTATTTTTAAGTAAAACGCATATGCGTTTGGTGAGCTGTAGGTGCATGCTGAAGTCCTGCTAAAGCTACAAGGAAATTACTTCCTTGAACCAGGTCCCAAAAGACAGGAGTGTCTGATAACTGAAGTGAAATGTTTTCATAACTTCAAATGCATTTTTTTACCAAAAATTCTAACTGACTGCTAAGGACTTAAAAAAAAAAAAAAAAAGAAGTTCTGAATAAAATTTTCACTGTTCTGTATAGAATTTAAAGGAGAATTATATGTAGAATGTTCATCATATAAATTTTTATGTAGTACAGTCATTACTCTTTCCATTAATAAAGATCTTTACTGCAATTTTTTTGTAAAATTATCAGGAATAATTGATTTTTAAATAATTTAACATATAAAACCAGCCTGTTTTCATTCACATATTATTTTTTTCCCTATTAGGAAGGAGATTTCAGGATTGGTTTCAGTTAATGTTAGAGAGGCTGTTATTTCTATATTTTTAATGAATGAAACTATATTTTAAAACCATTTGAAACATAATCAGCAATTGTTGTATTAAAGAAAACTAAAAACAGACACAGTCAACAAAATAATTGACTGGGGAATCACATAAACATAAGGAAGTAATCCTAGCAGACCTTTGTCCAGTACTCAGGCTCACCATGAGATCCTAAATAAAATAAGTCAAGGTGTCAGCTTGATACATTTCCTCTTGGTTTCAACTGCAATTCTTCTCATACAGGGATAAGCCATATATTCTGCTTTAACAAGGGATAAACTCTTGATCATAGTCATAGCACCTTCTTCCTTCAAATCAAATTCTCTTTTCAATACTTATATAATAGTTCTGTTCAGATTTCTCGTGTAAGAGAAATGTTTTTAATGAGCTATGTAACTTACCTGGTATCACCCTCTTCCCACTGCTTTAATTGTTCTTTTAGTGCTCTGTAGTTGGTTTGTAACATCTGCAGCCTTTCTTTGTGTTTTTCATAGGCTGCTCTTAGCTCATCAGTTTCTCGAGTCTGTATGAAACCAGAAAAATTGAATTAGAGTTAGTCAAAATGTAAGAGACTGTCATACAGACCACATGAAACAGAAGTTCTCTTTTAGCAACTATTAAGCAAATCAGAAATCTAAATAGAATGATCAGGAATTACAGTCTTTGAGATCAAAATTTTCTTATTACTACTTTGGAAAATTTTGCTAATTTGGCAAAATTAAATATTTTTTTCATTCTTCTGAGAAAATTAAAAAATTTACTACCAAAATGTCAGCTTTCACCTTGTGAATACATTGGCCTAATACATCTGAAAATATATAGACTGAAAAAGGATTGCTGGCACCATCTTTTTTTCAAATTACCTTTTTTTTTTCCCCCAATGGAAAACTGACTTTTGTATTTTCAAGGAAAATACTGGAACCCCTAAATTTAAAGGTTTCAGTATTTTTTCATATATTGTTTATATATATATATAAACCTGCAACTTCCAGATTTTGTCTTCTAGTAATGCAGCAAACAAGAAATAAAACCAATTTTTACAATAGCTTTTGTATAATCAAAACCATACCAAAAATGTACAGAACAATACACCTCAATATATATTACAGGACAACATCATCTAAGTTTAAAAGATTTTCCCAAATGACAGTACAGTGCTGTGAAAAAAAAAATAAAAAGAATACCAAGAAGAAGTATTTCACAGTACCAAGCAAGTCAAACTCTGACATATAGCAATAAAGAATTCATCAGACATTATCCTGTAGCAAAATTTGCACTCAGAGCTTCATTTCCACTTCAATAGGAGCTCTGCTTGTAGAGCAACTACATAACTAAGTAAATCACAATACTTTATCTGCAAGTATTTACTGCTTACATGCAAGGAGGGCTTTTCAGCACTAGCCAATAAATAAGACACACCAATAGCCAGAGTCTCAAGCAATAAAATCCCACTACAAAAAAATGGCAAGGGTTTCTAGAGTACTGCTAACTACAAAGTAGCTAGACTAAGCTTGGCTTCTAAAATGTAGCTCTGCTTTCACAATGCGTAAACTTGAAAGTTACCAGCTAGAATTTCAAATGTTACTACATACAAAATTCCAGAAGTTTTTTGGAAGTGACTCAGGCAACACAAAGAGATTTAGGAACAGAAGCATGTCCAAAGTGACATGACCAATTAACACTTTCTCAAAGTGGTGGTGGTAGTAGGCTTTTTTTCTGAAACAACCTGTAAACCAGACACATTTATAAATTTAGAATTGCTTAAAAAGTACTTTTGACTTTTTTTAAGTGGCTCATGTAAATACTACCATAATATTAAAACCAATCACACAAATAGCAAGATATAACTCAGACTAAGGACACAAAAACTATTACCATGCTGTGTTTCACATTGTAACAGGAAATTTTCATAAGAATCCAATTACAGATGTGTTTTCAAGAGAAGTTCATGAAACAATTGTTCCAACATTGTTTGATATTGCTAGTAAAAACTGATCAAGTCTGGCAAGGTACTGAAAAATAATGTCCAGCATAAATTCTAAGAAGCTTATTAGTGTCAATGCCCTTTCAGAGGTGCAACCAACTGTAGAATTTGGCCTTTCCTATTTATGAATCTACATTTTTCATTATTGCTTACCTGTTCTATTATCTGTTTTGTTACAATTATTCCCTTCCTTTATCACTTGCTCTGCTCTTGCAGAAATAGAAACTGGACAATTAACTGCTTTAATCACTGTCTTTATTGAATTAAGCACTTCAGGATTTTAAATATACACTGAAATTTCCAGAATTTGTTAGATATGTCTCTCTCTAATTGAATTATGCTATATTTATTAACTAAACTGTCTTATACACAGTTTTCTATATATTTACAGAAATGGACAGAACAACCATTTCTATCAGTGCTGGACCTCCAGATTATTCTCCAGCTCTTCACTGTCATTCTATAGTACTTCCTAAGCAATAATGAAAGACAATAACAGAAAGTCCAATCTGCAAGAGGAAAAATCCAAATGCCTGTGAAAAAAAAGCCATTCTTTTCTGGCAGGCAGCTCAGATAAGCCAAAAGATTAGCAGTTAATTCAAAATTTTGTTGAACTTGACCTGTAACAACTTCTGTTATAGTAGAAAAGAAATTTTAAAAATTATGCTGATTCAGTTATTTGACTACTATTCTTAGGCTTACAAGAAGTGACATACCCAATCATTACCAAAATAGTTTATTCCACAAACAGTTATGTGAACAAGCCACAATACTAATAACAATCTATTTTTAGCATCTGAGCACCATACAAGAAATAGGACTACACGGGAAATCTGAGCTAAACATGAGTGTGGTCTTGCTCACATAAACAAATATTAAGGAGGGCCTAAAGAGAGACCTACATATCCTAGTTTTAATTATCTCCAAAATACTTAGAACTTAAATAGGATGAGAAAACTCAAAGGGAAGAGCTCTGCTTGCTTTTGAGAGCTTTCCGGTACAGCCAGGATTATCTACTCTGGGCTACGCCAGCGCTCACAGTTCTAAAAACATAATACGGGAGAAGATAACATATTCTTAGCTCATATCAAATACTTACTCTTGACAACAAAACTCTTACCTACTTCTGAAAGACTAAAAGTAGATTGATGTAGTTATGCTTTGGATCATTCTCAGTAGCAGCTTGATAATTCATTATTTAAAACCCAGTAAGTACTCTTATTTATTTTGACATTCTCTTCTGTAAACAACTGCACAATCAGGCATGCTCTGTTACTTTTTAGTATGTCCAGACACAAAGGCAATTCTGTATAAAAACTGTGGACACTCTGAATTTACATGATCATCCTGCTTATAAAAGCAACAAAGATAGTAACAGCTAACTTTTCTTGGTCAGAAATGAATCAGCTGAGGAGAACTGGAAAATCCTGTGAATAGGATCTTGTCCTTTTCTGCTCCTTTGCAATACTGACTGGGGCATTCCTGTTCCTGAAAACCCCATAAATAGAGCACTCTCTCTTTTTTTTTTTTAATTGTTACCAGTTTTTCAGAAAGACTAATGGATAAGGTCACAATTTCATCTTCTACACATGCATCATCAGTGTGTTTATCGATAGAGCAAGGATTTTTCTGAACAAAAATATTCCAAGTAATCATATAGTCAACACCCTGTCTGAGGAGGCAATAATGCAAGTGCCAGTTCTGAAAATGTTGCTCATATGCATTATTCTTAGCTGGAAAAAATTCCTAAGAGAAGGCTAATACCAAGAAATCACAAAACGCCAATAGAAATATTCTGACATTAATGTTATGACAGCTTAGTTCACTGCCATGCTGGCAGTAGCCTCACTGAATTCTGAATGCAGTGCCATAACATTTTAGTATGCTGACCTGAGCCTCTACAGTTTCTTTTCAAATAATTAAAGCATTCTGCAAAAGAAGACAAGAAGATTTTCAAGAGAAAATGCAAAGAGTTCATGTGTTCAGTTTCAAGGGGAGATATAAGACTTAGCCCTTCATGACATCATGGTTTAAAAGCTGTGATAGAGATCCCACACTTGCAACATAATAAACCTGCATAGATTCCTAAATTATATTTTAAGATGAAATAGAAGATAAGGCAGGATGGTGACTGGTACAAATTATGATATGAGGTTATGCAGAGAGAGTTCTTTCTCTTCTGAGTATCTACTCAGTATCTACTGAGAAAATCAGTGTTTCCCTTCACTCTTCTTTCCAGAAGAAAACACAGAGAGTGGAGCTCTCTATCATTTAAGGCAACAACCATACACACTGCTGTGTGAGCTTTGCTTCTAAGGGTGAACAGCTGTAGTCCACATGTCAGAATAATCTGTAGCATCAGCGTCTGGCAGGCCAAGTAAGAGTAACAAAAAGAAAGCCTCCCAAAGGCCAGTTCTCAACCTCAGATTTAGCTGGTGGGACATGCCTTAGATTTCTAAACAGAGAGGAAAAATGAAACAAAATTAATTTTCTGACTCCCAGAAACAAGACGACCTGTAAGACTGAATCCGTAGTCTAAATAATCTTTCCTATATTATTATAATAATCTTTCATATACTCTACATGTGTTAGGACACTGCACTGAACTCTCTCAAGTATACGGGGTGAGGACCTGTGGCATTTGTGCTAAAATATAATTCCCACTTACAGTTTTTCTAAAACTGACTTATCACATTGGTGTCTTTTTGCATGAGGCAGGAGCTTAAGGACTATGGTTGGTAGAGCTATCAAATTTTTTCACTTACCTGACATTTATCACAGCATGTTCAATATAAACAGTTCTGCTTTAGGCTACTGAAAACACCTTTCAAATTCTGTAACTTTGAACAAACATAAGCAACAAAAAAAGGAAGGGAGGAGAAGGAGGGGAGGGAGGAGAGGATGAATTTTAAATGTTTAAGAAAATATGACTTAGGGTTTGAGTTTTGTGTTCTGAGGTGCAATTTGAACCCAATAGTTTGTTCAAAAGGTACTGTATTTCTGAAGCAAAAAACCAAACCAACAAAAAAACTCCTACAAAAATCTATGAAACAGGGAGAAATTGTAATACATGCTCAATTAAGATATTCTACCAAGGGGTGGAGGAAGGAGGATTGTTTATTGGGGTTTTTTAACAGCATTTGTTAGAACAGCAACTTCTGAGCCATAACAGCTAATATTTCCAGGGGTAAATCTGTTTCAAGTAATTGACTAACATTTTAAAATACCGGCTTCACTATAAAGAAAAAAAATTTTGTACTTTCTGATTTACTTTACTTCTATATGAGTACAAGAATTTCTCAGAATATATATTCTCAGACACAAACTTTGAAAATGTATTTAACAAGTATGTGTTACTGATGACAGCTCAATTAAGCTTCTATAGGACTGCAGGATTACTCACACAGTAAAACAAAAAGGTAAACTAATGGAGAGTGCTCCCTTACGCTAATACAGAGTCCATAACAATATGTGTATTTTTAATTTTTAAAATGCCTGTTTATTTTGGAGTATCTTACTATGCAACCTTATAACTAGCAGGTTTTGGTTTGGATTTTTTTAACATTCACCTTTAGCTGTAGCGTATTCTCTAAGTTTTCAATCTTCCTTTCAGCTATTTTAAGCTTCCTTAGCTCCTCTGACTCTCTAAAAGAGCTCTTTGGGGACAGAGACCTTGAACGTTTCACAGGTGGTTCCTGGAGAATAAAACAAGGACATGGTTGAACTAGTTGGAACACCGGATTATGAAAGACGTGCAGAATTAAAGAAGAAGTAATTTTGAATACTAATAATGAATTTTAAAAAAAAAATCTGCATGGAATACCAGAGAAATAACAAGCAGAATTACCACAGCGCTACCACTAAAGGTTTCTCTGTGACTCGTTAATGAGAATATTCATTTACATTTACATTGTTTCTTTCAGAATAATGATGTCCCATTAGGGAAGACTAAAGGGTTATAGACTCAGAAATGCAAGAAACCTCATTACAAAGGAGGGGATAGAGGCTGGGCTAATTGCTCTATAAGGGTCCAAGGTTACACTTGATAGGACAACCAGAAACAAGAGGGAAAGGATTTTTTTCCCTTTGAAATAGTTTAACACACTGTGAAGTTGAAGGAACAATATGCTTGAGGAATATAAATACAACAGACAGTAGATCTTATACCATAATGACCATATGGTCATTAACTATAATGTGACTAACTAGAGACAAGAATATGTGTTTATATTATGTACAGCTTCATATAGCAATCTGGAGAAAGAGTATGTGAAATAACACTTAAACTGGGCAGCTTTCTTCATTCTATGTCATATGTCCTTATGGCAAAGAAAGAAAGACCTCATCAAATTAGACTTTCAGATTTTCTGAATAACTTTGGTTAAGAACAGAGAAATACTAACACACACTTAATATCAATAAGGTAAAATGTTAATATGTAAATACATAAAGTCAAACAAAAAATTTATGATTATTGTTGTTGCATTTTGCCACTTTCACTGTAAAATAACCGATATACAGCAAAAGGAATTCAGAATAAACTCTTCTTCAATACTGTATATGTCAACACTTCTACTCTTCCATTAAATTGATTTAACCTTAAATAATATCTTAACTAGCAGCTGGTGTTTTTTATTTTGTCCATTATTTTCCAGTATGATACATTTCCAAGATGCCATGGAACATACTTTTCACTTTAAACAGGATGGGTTTCCAAAAAGGAGAGAAAAAAAATCTATCATGAAATATCACAAAATAGTAATACCACACATTTTAAATTACGAATGTAAATATTGCCAAGGTGGTTTTGGGATACTTTTACTTCTGAAATGTGCATAAAAGAGATTTAAAAACCCCCAACAAACAACAATTTTTTTTAAAAAAGCATCATTACCCTCACTCTCACCAAAAACCCCCAAACAAATAAAAAAAAAAAATACTAGGATCTACATATCAAGTTGGCACAGATTCTCCACAATAGGTTTTAAAAGTTTGTATCTAGTTTTACACAAGGAAGTGTAATTTCTTTATTTCTGACACAGTGATCAATTCATGACAAACACAGTAGTCTCATTTACATTACTCTGAGGAAACAGACAATGACATTGGTGGTGGGTTAACCTTGGCAAAGGGTCAAACATCCACTCTACTGCTCACTCAATTTCCTTCCTCACTAGGATAGGAGGAGAAAATAGGGCAATAAAGCTTATGGGTTTACCATTCACCATCATGGGCAGACTCACCTTGGAGAAAATCAGTTTAAGTTATTGTCACTTAAAATAGATTTGGGTAGTAAGAAATAAAGAAAAAAAATTAACCAACACTTTATCCCCCTCCCAGGAGGAGCTCCCAGCTCCCCACCCTCAACTTATTCCATCACTCCTAACTTCTTTATCTCCTTCTGAGCAGTGCAGAGAGAGGTTTAGTCAGTCCATAACACTTCCTCTGAGGCCATTCTTTCCTCCTTACTTTTCCCTGCTCCAGCATAAGGCCTCTCCATAGGCTAGGGTCCTTCAGGATAAACCTTATCAGAGTGGGTCTTCCATGGACCACAGTTTGTGTAAGAGGAACTTGTTCCAGTATGGACTCCCCCCCACAAGCTGCGGCTTCCATGATGGAATACCCATTCGCTGTGGGCTCCTCCACAAGCTTTAGTATGGGCATCTGCTCCATGGTGATCCCCTCAATGGGCTGCAGGGAAATACCAGCATGTGGAGCAACTTCTCCCTTTCCTCCTTCCCTGACCTTGGTGTTTGTAGGGCTGTTTCTCACCTTCTGTTCTTCACTCTACATTGCTTATGCAGCATTTTGTTCTTTCTTACACACATTTTCACAGAGGTGCCATCACATGCTCCTGAACAAATGTTGTAAATTATGTCTTTTTCCAAATATAGCCTACAGTACAGGATATTAAGAAAGAACATCATACATTTTTCAAAGAAAATGTTATGAGATAACAAATATGGGTAAACCAGAAGGTTTTCAGGGAAATGGACATGACGATTGACTCTTGTAAATGGACATGACGGTTGACTCCTGTAAATTATTTATATCATTCAGAATCATGTTCATACTTGCAACCTTACTAAAGAAATCTCTTCCAAGTTTCCAATATTCTATTCAACCACAATAAAAAAAAATAGATGAGGAAGAGGTTGAACACACAAAAAACATCATGACCTCAGTTAATTTAATAGATCAGTTTAAGCCACAGAATTATTTATGGCTCTCTTTCATTTACTATAATTTATAGCTGCTACTGTTACTGATGCCTATATTTAAGAGTGAGACACCATGAAAGAGGCGATCCAACACCATACAAAGTCAAAAGTATAACCTTCAAAGGACATTTTTGTCATTCTTCCTAAAAAAAACCCACTTTGTCCTACCATAAAAATCAAGAATTTGGAAAAAAAATATTTTTCATTTATAAAATCATAATAATAACTATTTATATTTCTCTCATTTTCCTTCCAGGGAAAGATGGTCATTCTGATAAACACCACAAAATATCTGATAAATATTAATTTTAACAAACCTACAAAGAATTTATCCTTCAAATAGTTCATTTAATTAAGAATCCCTTATTCAGTATTTAATAAGGTAAAACCTTCTACTCCCAACAGCTATTTTAACAAGTCTTTGGCAGATAACACAAGAACCATTTAAACAAGCTTCCAGAATTATAAGCAGCGTCAACAGATATTAAAATTATTATCTAGACCCTTGAGCAAAAATGTTTGGCATCACCAGTCTGACTTAGACACAAGGCATTAAAACTACTGTACCTCATGCTTTCTTTGCATCCTTACATTGTTGCTTTCCAGCATATCTGCAGTGCTCAAATTATGATCTGCTAGGTTAAAACCCGAGTTTTTCAATTTTTCCTGTAAAAGCTCTATTTCAGATTTTTGCACTGTAATAGGGTACTCTAGCTCACTTAAAATAGGCTGTTGAAATACTTAACAATAAGTTTAGGTATATTGGTAACAAAAAATTAGGAGCATAATGCACCATTTACATAAAACTGCCTAGAGAAACACAACATTAACAATATTACAGGAACATGCAAAATCTGTAAATAATTCTGCTTTTGTAAATGATTCATGATTCCATACTCAAACCAGACCTCAAAATAATAACTAAACATTTTCAAACCATGACCATATTTTCCACATCTAAATTTACATTCTTAAAAATGATTGTTTTATACAGCTGTTTCTTCTGCAGCAACTTATTCTACTATTTTGTACATCATAGTGCATCAAAATTTCTTGACAAAATGTTTTACCTCCTAAACTTGTTTCCTTAACAAAATATTTCACCTCCTAAACTTGTTTCTGGTGAAACATTTTCTGGTGAAATTTCAAGTTGGTAAGTATCACCAGCCTAACAAACACTGGGGGGGGGGAGAAAACCAAAAACCCTTAACTGCATATTCTGACAATAAATATATTCTTAGTTAAAAACTGCCCCAGAAAGATATCTTTTTAATGTCAATCTACAACACATATCTGCTATGTCCTTAAATTCGGCACAAATATTGAGGTCAAACTGAAGACTTACAGAAAAATAGATGGTAATTCTAGGTCACAGTGTTACTCAAAGCAGGTATGTCATTTCATTAAACCACTGAAATCCAGGATCCTTCCCAGCTATCAATCCATGCATAGCAATTCCTTGCCATAATACAACACTACTGCACACTGATCTACTTGGCCTAGTTACAAAACCTGTTCCGACAACTCACATTTCACTGGTACGAGCTACTATAAGTTATATCACTGGTGTCCAATAGCAGACATATGACCAAGAGTGGTCAAATTACCATGGCTTGATGACTGTCTCCTTGCCAGTAGAGTTTTTATGAACTGACTGCAATCACACCTCACTCTGTTACAACCACCCAACAATATGCCTGTTGTGTCAGTCTGTGGAAATCACAAAGTGAAATGCTTTACCACAAATCTCCTCCACAGTGCTTTAAGGCTGGGGACACACACTGATCTTCAAACAGCTGTGCCAGACAAAGATAATATAATTCCCAGATGGTCAATGCATCCAGGCAGCTGGAGGTTAGCACCTCAACACTATTGCTGGAAGAAGGGATGATGGAAACTGCCTCCCTAATCAATTGCATAAATTTAAGGGCAGGTTAGTTTAAAAAGTCAATGCAAGTGGCTTGAGCTGACCCAGCTGACCTTGTATTGGATTGATGAGGGCAGACTCATGAAACTCTATTGCCAGTGGTGCTCTGACAGCAATGACAAGCAGCTAGGAAGCAGTACAGTCTTTAATCAACAAAACTTGCTCCAGAAGACAACTTTCTCAAGACTAACTAAAAGTTTATTTTATACATACTTTCCCTAATTAGCAAAGTTCTGACAAGGTCACTTCCTTGCAACTGTTTGAGCATATTCTTAAGACAAATACTCACTTCAACAGAGAAGACAGGATTTGGTACAATTACCATTTGTTCCTACCATCTCAAATACTGGTATTCCCCCCCTACTTGAGATGGTAAAATAAGTAAATCAAGTCAGGTATACTGACAAAAATCAGAAAAGGCAGTGTGAAAAAGGTTAAGTAAGCAAATCTCCAAATTAATGTCACTCAAGAAACGAGATGGTCCAAAGTTGATTAAAATCAAGCAAGAGAACACTCCAGTAAGCATAGTATTGATAGAAACAGACTA